TGAAAGTCATATGATATGACACTTTTTAAAAACTCAACGAACAAGCCCTAAGCGAAGGCCTAACTTCAGAAGGCCCTAAGCGAAGACCTAAGTACAAAGATTAAGTACAAAAACAAAATTTAATATCAAATAGCCCTAAGTGAAGGTCATATCAAATGAAAATTTCTTGTATAAGATGTCATGTGAAACTAGATTATATGCGTTAAGTGAATGCCATGTTGAATTATTCATTTCAAAGACTCTAAGTGAAAGTCATTTACATATTCTCAAAAGCTAATGACTCTAAGCGAAAGCCATACAAAATGACATTTTTTCTGAAGTCAACAAACATGCCCGAAGTGAAGACCTACACATGCCCGTAAGTGCATGCCTAACTACAAATATTATTTGAAACAACAAATATAGCCCTAAGTGAAGATCATAACCAATCCTAAGTCATAAGTAAAAGTTAATTTTATTGACAAAAATGATAATGTAAAAAATATTAATGTCACAACCTATGAAAATAACTTTCGAAATGCTATAAAAAATTACACGTGTTACGTATTTAAAAAACACATCTTCACTAACAAATCAATGCCAAACAATTTGTGTTTTGTTTTGATCTGTTGCAGATCATTCGTTCTTTGTTTTAAGAACAGAAGTTTATTTTTTTTGACAAAATTACTACAAGTCAGCAGTCGATATCAATGAACAACGATTTGCAACAATTATCTTGTTATCAAAAATCAAATATTGAGCTACATGATACTACGACATAAAACAATTATAGTGAAACATCCTTAATTAAGTTTTGTATAGAAAAAATAATTACAATCCCTTTCTTATATTAAATTAAAAAAAAAAAAAACATACAATTCATTAATAAATGAATTTTTAGACTTTTCATCGCATGCAGTAATAAAAAACATAAAAATCAAAAAAATATATATATTTTTTTAATAATTAGTAAATGACACCATATATAAAATTATCATTATGAAATTATTAGTTCCTTTTATACATAATTATTTTGTTTTAACAATTTTTTTCTCACTTTACAATAACAGCATTATTTAGATACGATCATTCAACTATCTACCATTAACTAATTCAGTATACTTGTATGTAAGTCATGAATTTAAAATCAAGTGAATATTTCAATAGTTTGAATGTACGGACTACGGTAAGTTTATTAGTTTCTATCTTTTTTTCTCACTGTAACTATTTTCCTTCTTTTTATTTTTTTTCTTATTTTATTTATTTTTTAAGAAAGACTTTGTTTCCATATTCACTTCATCTTCACAAATTTGCCAATTTGTTTTTGTTTCGGTAGTGATCTTCGTTAAGTAATAATTGTTAATCCCACATATTTGATAAATGCAACATTTCTCGTATCGAAACTCTACTTAACCTTGACGCATCAATACTCTTGTAACCTAAAATATATAATTCATTACTATATAATTTTTTTTTTTTTAAATACAATAATAATAATAATCAGGGTTACCGGCGTTCGGGACTGGCCGAACGCCCGAACGTACGGAACCCCTTCGGGAGGCGTTCGGCCGTTCAGGCCAAACACGGACAAAAAAAAAAAAAAAAAAAAAA